CCCCCGTGTCTCCCAGCCTCCCCCCCCACGTCAGCCCCCGTTGCGAGAGTGGATATCTGCTTTAGCACAGTGAAGGAGTCGGCGTGCCGTCGCTGCCATGGACAAGGTGAGTACGGCTCCCTCTCCATGCCGAGCTGCGCCGGGGAAGTGCTACTCGCAATGCTGCCTGTTCGGGAAATATCCAGGGTTTTGGAAGCAGTTCATTGCAAATGTGACAGTTTAATTTTGTGCATGTCTGTAGAGCATGTATAAATGAATGGGAAATTTTGTGGGAGTAACTGATTTATTATTTAGTGTTTTATTTGAACAATTTAAAAAAAATATATGGTGTTTTGCATGGTCAATCGTGCTTATGTGTCAAATTATTGAATAAGTAAAGTTCAGATAATTAATTTGTAATTATTAAATCAGTAGATAATGCATGGCTTTCGTGTATTTTGTGGGGAAATGTTTCATAATGCAGTGTGTGGGATTATAGTGTTCTTAATACCGTACTAGCCTGCTGGTCCAGTTTTGTACTGGTTTCCAGTTGTGTTAAAAAACCCAGCTCTAATCACCCATCGGGGTCACTGTGCCCGTTTTCCTCTTAAATGGTATGACATGTCTTGGGACGTCCGACCACTGTGGCTTCATTTGCAAACACAGGAAGACGGAGGTGTGCTGCTGTGTGAGGAGGGCGCGATGCCCGGCAGCGGTTCCCTGGGGCTGCATAGCCTGCTGCTGATGCCCAGGAGCTGATGCCCAGGGTGCTGGCGCCCAAGGTGCTGGTGTCCGAGGGCTGATGCCTTGGTGCTGATGCCCAGGTGCTGATGCCCGAGGTGTCAGTGCCTTGGTGCTGATCCCTTGGTCCTGGTGCCCGGCACTGATCCCTTGATGCTAGTGCCTGGCGGCTCATCCTTTGGTGCTGGTGACCGGGGGCTGAGCCCTTGGTGCTAGTGCCCGGGTTCTGATCCCTTGATGCTAGTACCCGGGGGCTAATCCCTTGGTCCTGGTGCCCGGGGGCTGATCCCTTGGTGCTAGTGCCCGGGGGCTGATCCCTTGGTACTAGTGCCCGGGTTCTGATCCCTTGATGCTAGTGCCCGGGGGCTGAGCCTTTGGTACTAGTGCCCGGGTTCTGATCCCTTGATGCTAGTACCCGGGGGCTAATCCCTTGGTCCTGGTGCCCGGGGGCTGATCCCTTGGTACTAGTGCCCGGGGACTGATCCCTTGGTCCTGGTGCCCGGGGGCTGATCCCTTGGTCCTGGTGCCCGGGACTGATCCCTTGGTGCTGATGCCTGGTGGCTGGTGCCCGGTGGCTGGTGCCTGGGGGGGTTGATGCCTGGGGGGTTGATGCCAGGGGGACTGACCACAGATCGCCATGTGTGTTCCTTTTGCCCCCCAGCGCTGCACAGACTGCCGCGAACCCCGTGCTGCCCAGAGCCTTTGCACGCTCTGCAACAAGCGCCTGTGCTACCAGTGCACCAGCATGCACCAGGACCACACCCTGGCCGGCCCCTCTGCATCCCCCGGGCCCCCACTGCTGCCTGAGGCAGGCAGGAGGCGTGCTTACATGGGTATGCCCCCCCTCCTCCCGTTCTCCGCCACCACCGCCGCTATCTGAGCAGGATAAATGTGTAGCAGACGGATATCTGAAGTTAGATGAATGTATCGCCACTTTAATAAGAAGGCAGTGTAACATATTAGTGCACTGTATCACAGCAATCCTTGTCCACTATGTGTTTACTTCAGTAGGCAGTAAAACAGTGTGATTGGCTTTCAAGATAAAGCTAGTTGTGGTTTTGAAAAAAGCACAACTGGCTCTTTGCAACTGCTCGTCACTGTGATGTTTAGCTATTTGCGGCTTCCCACCTGTATCTGCATGGGCCCCGACGTGTGAGAACTCAGCGTTGTGTGCAGGAAACTCACAGCCAGGATGTGTTCAGTGCCATGCCAGCCGTGCATGTCCTGTCCAGTGTTCAGTGGCGGAATAATGAGTTCAGGGGCCCCAAGATGCACTTTCCGTAGGCTCCTCTTCTGCCCCCACACCCCCAAAACGATACAATGACTAACTATAAAACTATTTAAAATTAGTGACTATGTAATAATTTCTACTTAAAGAGAATGTGACATTGTATCAACCGAGGGGAATCACATCAGAGGAACAACAAAAAGGCAAGCTTACACCTTCACATCTATCATATGCAGCGAGCAGAAAGAGGGCAACAGAGACCGCATTGAATCAACGCATCTCAATAGCAGTAATCTTAGAACATTATACTCTTAGTATTAGAATGTTTTCCTCCATGCTTTCCTGGCCTAACACTCATTTATCAAGCTCATAAAATCCATTTTACAAAGGAAACAGACTAAGCATAACAGAAAATACGTGGAGTGCCAAAAAAAAAAGATACATTTAGAATTAGTTTTAACCAATCCCCAATTGGCAATCAAATAAACAACCAATAAAGGATCACTTTATTGAATGGTAATAATAATAATAATAATAATAATAATAATAATAATAAAAACTAGTCACCCAATAGGGGCCCCTGATCACTCTGGGCTCCCAGACTGCAATAATACGCCCCTGCTGGCATAGCATGACATGACCAATGGAATGCCAGCCCCCCCACACTGGTGTCTCACCTGACTTACCACTGTCCTGAAAAAGAAAAATATTTTAACAACATTTAATTATTATCTAAAGATTTGTAACATACCTTGATCTCATTATCTCGTTATTCATTACTGGATTGTTCAAATATAATTCCTGTTTGAAGCTAATACCTGATTGGTGGGGCCTCTATTATAAGCAATTACCTGATTGGTGGAGCTTCTACTGAAAGATATTACCTTTTTGGTGGGGCCTCTATCAAAAGCTCTTACCTGCTTGATCAGGACTCTCTATTAAAAGCTATTATGTGATTGGTGGGACCTCTATAGAAAACACACTACAGCTGCCCAGCTGGCTGTGCCTGCACCCACTAACCCACAGTTTCCTTGCGCAGGCCCCGGCTGCTGGTCCACCAGCACCCTGCACTGTCACTACCACAGGCAGGAGCCGCTGGACCTCTTCTGCGAGACCTGTGACCTCCTGTCCTGCAGCAGCTGCCACCTCTTCACCCACAAAGACCACAGGTGCACTAGAAAAAGAGCCTTGTCATGACAGAAATGGCAGCTTATCTCAAGGACCAATGTGCTCTCCCTTGTTAAGAAGTGCCCATCAAAAGCATCTAGCTACTTTAAACAGGGGGTCTCCAGTTTGTGCTCTTAGCTTTCGTCCTGCATTGTTGGGGCCGCGTGTTTGACGCTGACGCACACTGTGAATTGCTCCATGTCCTCAGGCTGATTCATGTGGGAAAAGCTCTTCAGGAGCAGCACTGGCTCTTTGAGAACCTGATGGCCCAAGTGGAGGACAAGCGGTTGGTGGTGGGGGACATCGCCAAGCAGATGGAAGCCAGGTGAGGGGCTTCCCTAGCTTCTGTGCTGCATATATGGCTTGGAGCTTATTGTTATTTCATAAAGGTGAGCACAAACAAAATGCTGTGAGTCTGATCACTCTAGATGTTGTGGAAACAGTGGTGTTGAACACATTTGACCATTTTTGGGGTCTAACACATGCCGGAACTGAGCAATCCACTAATACGCCAAATGAATGATCATTGTGGAACACGGTAATGTTCGGCTTTATATATAGCCAGCCAAGCAGGAATAGGTCTCGGCCTGATCAACGTGTTGATGTTTGTGCATTTCCCAGGTTACATTCCATAAAGAACATGCAGAGGAAAGCAGAGAATCAGATTAAAATGGCGAAGATGATCATGATGAATGAGCTCACCAAACGTGCCAACCTGTTAATAGAGCAGTTGGAGGTCAGTGATCTGTCTGTTGGGCAGGGGAGTGGGTTCACAAGTGGCTTCATAGGTGGGTTTATGAGTGGGTTCACGAGCTGCTTCATCCTCAACTGAGTTTAACCTCGGCTTTGGGGCTTCCTGCCCCTGCTTGCAGAAGATCTCCAGTGAGGTCCGGCAGAACCTCGAGAACCAGCTGCAGGGGGTGATGGAACTGTGTGCCCAGCTGGGTCAGGCGCAGAACTTCATATGCTGGGCTACACTGCACAACAGGAGGAACCCGCTTCTGTTTAGCAAGGAACTGGTAAGCCATCTGTTCCTTCTGGTCTCTCTGTTGCACTACTATCGAGGCCTGAGAATGGTGATGTTTTCTCTCTCTTTTGCTGATTAGGTAGAAATTAGAAACCGTTAGGTACATGATGTCACTTCCTGGAGGCAATGTTTCTTTTTTGATTGTCCTTTCTGTGCGGTTCCCTGTAGGTGTTGATGAAGTTGATGTACTGCTTTGTTTTACTTGAGGTTTTGTTATTAGAGATTTTTACTTGCACTTCTCAGCAGTTCAAAAAAACCTCAGAGAAAAAAGGTTACCTGTCTGACGTGAAGCACGGGCCTTCCTCTCCTTCAGATCACTTACCAGATGCAGTGCTTGCTGGTGTCCCAGCTTTATTCTGACCTGGCTCCCCCTGTGAAGATCAAATTCAACTGGGACGCCAGCTTCTGGACCAGGCAGATTTCCACCTTAGGTAGGTCTGTGCAGACATAACTTGCTTTTCTATTTGTATCTCTGAGAGATGACTAGCTTTGTTTCAGACGTCCTGCTTCGCTGAGCCTTCAAGCTGACGTCTCCCTGTGCTTCGCTCACCCTGCTGTAGGTCAGGTGACCACTGAGGGAGGAAGTGGTCCTCACTGTGAAGGTGGCGGCTGCCCGAGCGTCCTGAAGCCCCAGCCGATCCCCTGCGCTGCTGCTCCGCTGTCCCTGTGCCGCAGTGCTTTGGAGCAGGGCTGCAGCTTCCGGCCCCAGCTGTGCTGCGCTCACTGTGCTACTCCCCCTAAGTCAGACAGACTCCACCCTGACCTGCTGATAGGCCACACACGGGCTCCAGGCCTGGGCCAGGGGTCGCTGTGTCACCCCTTAAGCAGCTATCCCGAGAAGAGTCTGCAGCGAGCTCAGCCAGTGCAACCAAAGTCCGTCTTGAAGCCCGTGACACGACTGGAGGATAAACGGCCAGAACAAAACCTTCGTGGTCCCAAGTGCATCCGGGCTGCCCAGTCGCTGCCATCGCTGCACCAGGGCGACCAGCTGGCCGGGCACCTGGATCCCCATAGCGGTCTGGTGCCTGTCGCCCATCCGCGGCCACTCCCTGCGCAGCCCTTTGCGCAGGCGCTGCTGCCCACTGTGGACGCCTACTACCTAGGCTTTAGCCACTCGCTGCCCAGGCAGCCAGCACCTGCGCAGTCGAGCCTTCCCATCACGTTGCACTACTCCTCAGAGCCCAATAGGTCTGCGCAGCTTTCCCCCGGTCCCGAAAGGCAGCAGGGGCGGCCAGCCGCCGTCTGGAGCAAGCTAGAACCGGCCCCCAAGCAGGTACAGCTGGCTGCAGACTGGAGCGGGTCGCTGCCGGAACGACGGGTCACACTCACATGCGCGGAGCATAGTTCAGCTGATGCAGGCGAGCAGCAGCTGGCCGGGCATTGCAGCAGGACGGAAGGCAGCACGCAGCAGCTGCCAGTGGCTGCAGGTCTGAGCCCAGCAGGCATGGTCAACCACCAGAACCAGGCAGCCACCACTCAGGGCACCGCAGATCCTGCCAACGCAGCCACCCCGCCGACCGCAGCTTGTGCAGGAACCAACCAGGACGTGCAGGGGAAGCATGCGACTGCGCAGCTTCAGCAGAGGAAGGAGCAGGCAGCCTCCCCAGGGCCAGGGAGCAGCCCGGAGCGGCAGGGTAGACGGCAGCCAGCGGAGACAGAGCAGCGACGGCTTGACGGTGGTGATCAGAGGGTGAGTGAACAGCCCCCCCCATGCGATGGTGCCCCCTACCATTCCTGCACTTACATATCACTCAGGACTACTCAGTACTCTGAGCTGATAGTGGCCCGACCCCCAGGCTGAATGAGCCTAAATATTTACTTTTTGCAGACATTTTTGCATATAATGTGGCAGATAATACATACAACTATGCAGAAGCCGTCTTTGGTATAAGCTTCTAATCAGTGAGCAGTGTAAGAGCTGTGGGAACAGGAGCTATATATACCAAAGATGAGGAAATAGAAAAGCTAGAAAAATATCCATTTATTTAAGGATCACAGAGACCAAGCATTTTACATTGTGGGTTTATTTTTTGCTTATTGGCATATCCTGTCGACTCTCTTAAACAGGAAGTACTTTGAATGATGTAATCGAGAAGCATAGCGTTCAGTTGTCAGGGTGGTGTGCTTTGCACGGTGTGGCCCACAACAGAACACACTGCACCCCCACCCTGCACCACTGCCTCACTTCCTGACTCACTTCAGTCCGCACACAGGAAGCGTCTCGCCCTCTGTCGCCCTCTCCTGGTTAGAAAGGCTCGTTAGGGCTCCTTAGATGATGCAAACCCTCCCTGAAGGCCATCACTGTGATCGTACATCAGTGTGCTTATGGGAGCCCACAATACTGGGTTTACGTGTTTGCTAAGTGTCAGGTAGGTGAGGGCTCATTCCCAGGAAGCTGCCTGGTGTTTATTAACCTGGTGTTAATGAGGAGCCAGGGGAATTCTGGGAGATCAGCGGTTGGCTCTGCCTTGTTATCTCCCAGCCTGCAATCTATCCATTCCAGATGCAAATAAACACTTTCCTAAGAAATTACACTCTTACAAGTTTCCAACCCTGCCAGCATCACAATTTGCAGTGTCCACCCCCACCCCCCCCCCGACACTTCGCAGGTGTGTGCTGCTAATCGGCAGGCCGGTGGGATTGGCTGCGCAGTACGTAGGGGTGTGTGGGGAATGGGCGGGCTGTGGTTAAGCAGCCTGCGTCCTCCCAAACCAGGGACCTGCTACCGCCAGTGAGAGACGTGTGTGAGTTTCTCCTCTTGAATTTGTGAAGTTGCACTAAGGAGACCCACATTTTCGGCGTGCCTGCGACCAGCGTGCGAGACTGTGTACGGTAACCGCTGCTCTAAGCACATCCTGCGTTATGTGTGATCTCGTGTTGCGTGCTGTCGCATGTGTTACATGCGTTACCCTGCACTGCTGCCTCTCGTCATCCCGCTTCCGCCACTCTTCCTCTGCCTTTTTCGAGCTGTTTGCCGCAGTATTCCTCTGGCCCACATTGTCACCGTGACCGTCATTCTCAGACCTTCTCCTTGCCTCACTTTCACTCTGTCCCTGGACAGAAATCCACTCCTCCCAGGATGTTGGAGCCAGACCACGATCTTCCCAGAGCATCGCTGCAGGGTGCAAGACCTGGATCCCGAGGGGCCCCAGAGGAATGGGCGGCGCCACTGAGCAGCCCTCCAGGGGGTGACTCTGCAGGGTCCACCCTCAGCTTAGCAACAGTCTCCAAGGAGCGGGGACAGGCCGCTCGCCAGGTAACCACATCTCTGTGGGGATCCTGCAACTGAATTGCCCTCCCACCATTGCAAAGCCAAAGCCTGTCCGATCAGCCCATAGCATTGTAATACTCCAGTACTGTGTGGTACTAACTCTGTACACTGTCAAAATGTTGTGGGAATTGTGAAAATGCAATGAAGCCCTAAATTTGACCAGGAGAGAAATATACTCGTGACATCAAATCAAAGCCGATACTACCCATTGTGTTGAATGACTATCCACCACGCACCCCCCCCAGGGTGACCGCAGTTCGCCACACGTGCAGAGCCCGCTGTCAAATGCTGCGGTGAGCCTGAGCCGCAGCAACAGCGCATCTCTACTCTGTGTATCCCCTGTGACCGCTTGTAAGACAGAGCCAGGTACGTGCCTCCCCTAGTGTCACTGTCCGGCATTCCCACGGAACACGTAGCCTGCAATATTTTTTTTCCTTTTGATATTTTTACTTATTTTCTCATCTAATCACTTCTAAATATCTATATTTATAGATATTTGCCCTTATGAAGAAATTAATTCTGGTGATAAAGACAGTTCTTCTACGTCAAGGAAAGAGCCATCAAGGTACAGCAGTTTCTCTTCTGTCCTGATGAATGCTACATGTTATGTGTGATGAAAATGATGTGGCTCTTTTGCTTTTCACGTGACAGAAAGGGCCAAGCGGTGATCAAGATTCCAGGGAGCTCTAGAGTTCCAGTCGTACGTCTGGAACGACTGAAGATACGAGTAAAGCCAGGGTTTTTATCAAAGCCACCAGTAGATGTAGAAATCGGACCTGGTGCCGACCCAGCATTGAAAAGAGAGCTCGCAACCACTGAAGATCCACGGCAGAGTTTATCCTCCAAGGTGTGTCCACAAAGGGCACCAATTCTGTTCCTCCAGATGTTATGATGCATAAGTGATTGCATATTTTAAAGTTTCCAGAATAGCTGGAAAGCAGGCTCGTGCTAAAATGTTTGGTCTTAACACATCCATCCTTGGTTGTAATTTTGTTTCTCTCTTTCTCTGTGTTTCAGGAGCAGGCTGCTGTTCTTTGTTGGTCACCTTTGAACTCTGAGCCCTTTGAACAAATATCAGCTGACATCCAACCATCATTCAGCCCTGATGCTGATGTGCAGTCCTCTGTCCGGCTGAGATCAGAGGAGCTGCTGTCAGCCCTTACAAACAGCACTAGAGCCGAACCTGAATCGGATCCTGGTCCACCCGCTGAATTGGACCAAAGATCTGAGTCTGAACCAAGATCTGAGTCGGAACCAAGATCTGAGTCTGAACCAAGATCTGAGTCGGAACCAAGATCTGAGTCGGAACCAAGATCTGAATCTGATCCGGCATCAGAATCTGAGCCAGATTTGGATTTAGAGTTAGATGTGGAATCTGAGGCAGATTCAGAGTCAGAGCAACAGCCAGAATCAGATCCAGGTTTAGAATCGGATTCACCGCTTGAATCAGATTCTGACCTGGAATCAGAACAGCAGCCAGATTCAGAGATATCTGCGGAATCGGAGCCAGAATTTGAATCGCACCTGGAATCAGATCAGGACTCGAATTCAGATGGCGATCATATAACAGAGATAATTGCAGAGTCAGATCCGGATCCAGGAGGCCTGTGTGTGCACGGTGCTAGTCCCCACAAACTGGCTGAAGCTGTGCTGTTGGAGAGCGACCATCGCGAGGAAACTGTAGAGATGGAGAACGAGGACTTTTGTGCCGTGTGTCTGAACGGGGGTGACCTGCTCTGCTGTGACCGCTGTCCCAAGGTGTTCCACCTCTCCTGCCACATCCCACCTCTCCTCAGCTTCCCCATGTGAGCCACACATCCTACATTATGCTTTCCCGTTTTAAGCTGTTGTGTGAGGTCAGCGCTGGCAGTAATCTTGAGCTATGACTGCCCCTGCAGGGGGGACTGGGTGTGCACGCTATGCCGGGACATCCAGGAGCCGGAGATGGAGTATGACTGTGAGAACATACGCCACGCCGCACAGAATGCTGGGAAGGCCATGCTGTACGGCCTGTCCCCCTGTGACCAGAGGGTAGGTTAGGGTGCTTACTGTCAGACCGTGACAGAGGCTCCGTTTCACACACTCATTTCCGGTTTGCTTGGCCCTCCACAGAAATGCGAGAAGCTGACGATGTCCATCGCCTGCAACATCCTCAGTGCCCCCTTCCACGAGCCGGTCAGTCCACTGGTGAGTCTCTCCCTAGTTCAAAACCTACCAGCTCATACATGCGCTTACACACGCAAACTTACCAGAGATTACAGAGCTAGTTACAGTCATGTGAAAAAGAAGGTACACCCACTTTCATTTCAATTCAATATATGTATCAGGGACATAATAAATAGATAATAAAAAATCATATGGTCCTTAGTAAGTCTTAAAATTAGGTAAATACAACTTTGAATGAACAGCAATCCATGACGTATCATACCATGTCATTATTTATTTAACAAAAACTAAGCCAAAATGCGCAATGTGTGAAACATGAAGTACACCCTTACTGCTTCCATAGGGATTGAGAGGGTAAGTAGCAGCCAGATGCTGTTAATCAAATGCACTTGATTAATTGATCATCAGCAAGTGTGATCACCTCTATGGAAGCAGAAGTTTTGGCAGTTTGCTGGTCTGGAGCAGTCAGCTCTGTGACATCAGCAGTGACATCAGCAATGATCTTAGAGAAGCAATTGTTGCTGCTTATCAGTCTATGAAGGGTTCTAAGGCCATTTCCAAACAATTTAAAGTCCATCATTCTACAGTGGAAAACATTCAAGACAGTTGCCAAACTTCCCAGGAGTGGACAACCCAGCAAATGCACCTCAAGGTCAAAGTTCATGATGGTACAATTACAAAAAAACTGTAGCTTGTTGTGGCTTGTTTGGAAGTGTTGCCAGGAGAAAGCCTCTTCTTGCTAAAAAGAATATGGCAGCACAGCTTAGGTTTGCAAAGTTGCATCTGAACAAACCTTAAGACTTCTGAAACAATGTCCTTTGGACAGAGAAGAGCAAAGTTGAGATGTAATGCTGAGCATTATGGCCAAACGTTTGGTGGAAACCAAACACAGTATATCAACACAAACATCTCATACCAACTGCCAAGCACGGTGGTGTAGGGGTGATGATGTATAGGCTTATATTGCAGCCACAGGACCTGGGCACCTTGCAGTCATTGAGTCGAACATGAATTCTTCTGTATACCGAAGTATTGTAGAGTCAAATGTAAGCCCATCTGTCCAACGGATAAAGGTTCGCCGAAACTGGAAAATGATCCCAAGCACACCAGCAAATCTACAACAGAATGGCTGAAAAAGAAAAGAATCAACTTCTTGCAATGACCCAGTCAAAGTCTAGACATCATTCTCATCGAAATGCTGTGCTGGCACCTTAACAGAGCTGTGTATAAATGAATTCCCACAAACCTCAATGAACTGAAGCAACGCCGTAAGGAAGAGTGGCCAAAATTCCTCCACAATGATGTGAGAGACTGATATCATACAGAAAATGATTACTTCAAGTTATTGCTGCTGAAGATGATTCTGCAAGCTACTGAATCATGGGATGTACTTAGTTTTTCCACATATGACTTCTCCATTTTGGCTTCATTTTTAAATAAACAATGACACGGTTTAATCTGTTGTGTGTTTTACACCTGAGATAAGATTTAAATAATTTTAGAACCTGGTGATTTTTTTTAATGTCCAGATACATAAACCATAGAACTTTCTTTTTCACATGAATGCCAATTTATATTCAGCTTGAGGACCTTCCTAAATTTCTGGATTTTCTTGAGTCATTCAGGCACTCATCCTGAAATTTGTGTAATCTTAATTATTGTTTAATTGCAATACACATTTACATGTAACCATGGCTACATGCATGTGAATGCTTGTTTCTCCCATCTAGGCGCGCCATTACTACCAGATAATCAGGAAACCCATGGACCTGTCAGTGATCAGGAGTAAGCTGAATAAGAGGAACCCGCTGCACTACTGCACACCAGAGGAGTTTGTGGCCGATGTCTTCCTGATGTTCCGCAATTGCGGCAAGTTCAATTATGTGAGTTTGTCTTCATTATTGTGTTCCCCGGATGTATGGTTTTGGAACCTGTAGGGCAACACTGCTCACTGCAAATGGAGGGAAAAGTGACTGCAGAAGACACTTGACCTTGTGAACAGGGTAACTGTATCTAAGATTAAGATGCCCTTTATTGATCCTAAGGGGGAATTTGATCTTATTACTCTATTTGATCTTTGATGAATCTTCACAAAAACATTATATGGATGAAAACCTACACCTGATACTATGGAAGCCGAGAATGGCTGTGCTTGCAGTTATTAATTTTATGCTGTTATCTTGAGATAATGAGGAAACTTATTCTTCTGAGGAACACTGCACAGGTCTGTACTTCTCAAACTGTTGGGCATTAGGGAACTTAGGAAATTTATTGTGGGGGAATTAAATTAAAGTTGGACTTTTAATTAAGATTTCAAGAGAGGTGTGGATAATGTGTAGGGTAGGCTTGGGTGGTATTACAGTAATATTTTTGGTATACTCTGGTATTTTTGTTCAGCAAAATTTATTGTGGGCAAAGTTCCCCCTGGTGTGTGAAATTTATTGTGGGGGAATTTAATTGTCACTTAGCTCTAGTCCTAGCCAGCCCATGGAAGAACAAGTGCAGATCTGGTGAACCTGATTGTACTGAGAAATGTCACATGAAGTTAGGCCTTTAATAAGAACTTCATATGGTCATACTGACAGGAGGTGGCAAACTGGTATGTAAACAATGCAACAATTCAATAGTGTAGTTTCAGAGCATTCAGATAGAAACACATTTATTGGGTTTCACATTTCCAGTTGATCCATCCAGTACTTCTAGAAATTGTAGAGGTTTGGGGTGTGGGAGTAGTAAGGATTAGATGAGGATGGGGGCGACAGGCCTGTCTGGGGAACACAGTGCTGTTGTTCTGACAGCATCCTTTCTAGGTTAACAGGAGCTTTTATCTAAATCTACGTACATTTGAGAAAGCAGGGACAGCCAGTCCCTGGATCAGTTGGGGTTAAGGGTGATGCTCAAGGGCCTTGTGGTGACATCACTTTGCCAACCACAAGATTTGAACAGTAACTTTACAAACAGGGACACACAGGCCTAACCACCCAGCAGCCCAAAGACCAAACCACTGGGCCATGATACCAAACTCCCTGAATCTGGGAGAAAAAAAATGTTGGTAAGCAGTTAGAGGAGAGAACTGCATGAATACTTGCAGTGTTCTATAGTCTGAATGGTTCTATAGTTTGTATGGATGGATGAACAGACAGATGAATGGATGCATAGGTGGGATTTAGTCAGGCTGTGGAGAGCTGAGCGATAGTGACGTGGTTCTTGTTCTCCTGTGCTCTGTGGCTCGTCTTGCAGCCAGACTCCGAGGTGGCCCACGCTGGCCGCAGTCTAGAGGCCTTCTTCAGCGCCAAGCTGCAGGACGTCTTTCCCGATAGGGTCTTTCCCGTGCTGGAGGACGACTCGGACAGTGAGGACTATGATGAGGCCTACCGGGCCGGCGTGGCCGGCTTCCTGTGGCCAGAGAGGAAGGAGCAGAGCCACCGAAAGAGGAAGAGGAGGCACTCGGCCCACTGGAGGAGACAGCACCTTTAACAGGGGTCATGTGACCAGCCCTCTGCCAGTCCATGTGACTACATGATCTTCCTCAACAAGCTATTGCAATATTTCAGGCGTATTTATTAAGAGACGAATTACTCAGTTTCCTTTATCAATATCACTCTTAGAAAGCTGACCTTACATCTGTCCTAGAATATAGTCTCATATCATGTTACTTCAGGTCTCTCTCTCTCTCTCTCTCTCTCTCTCTCTCT